GGGGCCGGTGCAGCTGCAGGGCCGGGGGAGGGGGAGGGCGCGGCGCCCGGGTTGCGGTTGCCGGGAGGCCCCGGGGGCTGGCGCGCGGCGGCGGCGGGGGAGCGGTCGCCGCGGCGCTTCTTGCGACTTTTCTTTTGTTGTTGCCGCGACCCGGGTCTGTTTTCTCGGCCGTTGTGGAAGGTGCTTTCCTGCTGCACCGGCTCCCTGCCTTGCACCTCCTTCCCGGTGGTTTCACCCTTCCTCTTTCCCGGAGTGCTTTATGCACCGCGAACTGCGCGAAGATTTGCATCTCTTTTCCCACCCCCGAACCTCACACACACCCGGGGCACCGTGCCCCCCACCTCGGAAAAACAACCCCCGAAACCTCACAGAACCTCTGAGGGTCCGCCGTAGTGGTGGACGGGTTGATCCGTGGAGTGGATGTCTTCGGGCCATTGAGGTGCTTGGGACTCATTAAACTGTCACTCACCCCACCACCACCCCACTGGGTAAACGGGCTGATTAATGTCGGGTATAGTGGAATGGGGCGAGGGCTTCTGTGGAAAAGAGGGTGTGTGTGGCAGAGAAGTAATCTATCTGCACAGAGTACCTCCCGAACGAGTTCAGAATTATGTCATTCACCACGAAGTTAGAGAAAGTTAGGTTTGTGGCTCGTGAGCAAGAGCAGGACACAGTTGGGGTTTTGTTCTCTAGCTCCCTGCCTCTGTTTTCTAAAGCGAGCCTAAGTGGTTGTCGCCAGGGTTGGGACGCTTGTGCCTCAGGCCCCAACTTCTTTTTTCTACTCCCCAACCTCCCAAGAGTCGGTGGAGATGTGCCTAATATTCATAGATGCCGCAGCACTTGCAGGGCACCCAGCGACCCGGCCCCGGATACATTAACATTTCATCAGCCATTAGAAACGATCCACAACCTAGCCAAAAAAGTTCCCAAAGTCTACACTTGGCCTCCCCTCCCCTCCTGGTGATCACAACCCCTTTCCCCAAAGTGATAGAGACCAAGGGCAAGACAAAAGTGACTACTTTTCTGAGCAGGAAGACGAAATGTGTGGTCAAACAGCCATTCTAAGTGACTACAGCAGGTTTTGTTAGTTTACTAATTTGCCTCATTGAACTGAAATACTTTCCAGGATTTCAGAAGTACAGTTTGAGTTTGTTGGTGCTGAGAGTGGAAATTTGCACTAACGGTGGCAGTGTGAACTCTTTTCCTGGGGGATAGTTGCAGTTGCAGAGAAGTTGTTAGGGAAGAGCAAAACAATAAGGTGAACCACGCTGAAGTAATAGTTCTTAATAAGTCTGCCAACATTTCAGAGATGTCTGCCATTATCTCCGCAGGGGAAGGGGAAAAAACACGCTGTAATAATGTTGAAATGGGACTAGAGATGTCAAATGGGTTGGTTTAAAAATATCCCTAAGCTGCCTTTGAAACTAGACGTTGGAGTTGAATAAAAGTGAATGTGGGTTTCCTGAATAGCACCGAGCTCGAGTGTGCTGTCATATGTAAGCCAGTCCACCAACTTGAGGCAGAAGTGTTGCGATTCCATAAATACAGTAGGACTCCATATGCCGAGTTTTTCAATTTCTTCTGTTAGAAAGTTTGGGGGGAAAAGGAAGACTTTGAAGTATTTTGTTTATACTAACAGAAGAGAAAAGTTCTCCTAAGAAAAAGCTGGTGGCAGGAGTGTAGAGGAGTAGCATATGGCATTAAAGGAGCACAGCTGGAGGTAGCATTTCCATCTGAACATGATGTCAGAGCAGCTGACAGCCTGCCATCCCTCAGCCTTTTATTCTAACACACAGACAGGGAGTTAGTGTGTGCGGATCTGTGGTGGAGAAGGTATCTCATTCCTCTCCAACATCATCTCCACTTTGCATCTGTCTCTCTTAGTCTGCTTTTTTTCCACCGATGTAACAGACCTGCAGCCAGCAAGACTCCGAGGGAAGGACTTAATCAAGTTTATGTGTCCTAAAGGTAGGAGTAGCAGGAGATTAGGTTGAGCATCTTTGTGTTGGGTGTTTTATTTAATTTTTTAAAAATTACATTACTTTTCTAATCCACTTTATGAATAATATGTGAAACTGAGCATGAAGTGATGGTCTTACTGGAGTTGAAAGTCTTGGGTTTGCTTGGCTTACAATTTTATTTCTTCTGTTTGAGGAAGTAAATAACTTTAATACACAGAAATATTTCAAGTTTTCAGATGGTAAGAAAGGCTTTGGAATATGGCTTTTGGAGATGACTGTGGATTAGGATGTCTTTTGCTCACTGCTGTTTAGATCCCTTTTGCTTGAGGGGGGCAGAAATAGTGAACTGTCTGGAACCCAGCTTTCAAACTGAAATGAGAAGATTATTCTGCTTAAGAAGCTAGGTTGTGTGATTAATTCCACTGTGAAACTTTATTCTTCAAAACATTCGGCAAGCATTACTGAAAGCAGCATACAGCTGTAGTGCTTTTGAAACTGGAGGGTTTTTGTTGTTGGTTTTTTGTTTTGTTTTGTTTTTATTTTTTAAGAAGGAAGAAAGAGAACTTTTGTTCCTAGGAGAATAGCTCGACCAGTTTCCTCATTTCTCTTTCAAATATATATTTAAGAGATGTTTTATTTCATCATAACAATCGTCATTTGCAGGAGTTTTGTGTCAGTGACTAATTTAGAACTTGTAGAAGTGAGCTGCCTGAATTGGCCAGACAGCTGTAATCGCACTCCTCTATTCTTAATCTCTTTATCTGGGCAGCAGCTGCCATATGGCCACAGTCAGCTGGATCAGATGTTTATAAGCTTCCTTCTTCGTCCCTCTCTGTCCTCTCAGCCTCCTAATTTGATCACAGCTACCTTGTGAGCTGCCCTCCAATCTTTATTTTTAGCCCTCTCAAGGATTAGGATTGATGTTAGCTGTGGGGCACTTAAAGTGATTGTATTGTAAATCTTGGTGTATTCTATTGGTCGTGTCTTTCAGAAGGTATCGGTTAGGATGAAAGTTACACTGTGTCTCAGCATAGTGTGGGGGAGAGAAGTTGTTCTGAATATTAACTCCACATCCATCCTCAGATGCACTCGCTGAGATAGATGGTGGGGAGCCCTGCCTTTGGTCCCAGGATAGGGAAGTGGGCTCCACTGATCTTAAAGGAGTTTTAGCTACTACAGTTGAATTTTGACTGACCGATTGATCTTTGCCTTCCCTTCTTTCACCACCTTCCCTTGCCAGAAAACATGGCAAAGATTCAGAATTGGAAGAATAGAAGGTACTGGGGAAACAAAATATATCAAGTTATTATTGAAACAAAGTATTTTCTGTTGGATACCTATGCCAGAGCCAGAAAAAGGTTTATTTATTTATTTTGTTTTTTTCTAGGAAGGCTTAAAAATACTAAATATTTAACTTACAAAGTTTTTGTGCCTCATTTTGTAGTGGTAAAGGTTTGATTAATTTTAATATAAATTTTCTTTTGCCCTATAGCAGATCAAAGTTTAGGTGAAAATTTTCAGAGTTAACAGCCTCTCTGGTTGCTAATATTGTTGAAGTAAAGGATCTACAAAGAAACAGGACCCCCCCCCCATTCATTTTTAAAATGTTTGGATTTGTTCATAGTAAAGATGATCTTTCCCATCTGTCGGTGCAGTTCTGTCTGATCTTCTGTGTGTGCATTACCTGCAAATCTTACAGCACCAACATCTGTTCTTATACACAGGGCTTTGTTGTTGTAACACTCTGACTTTAAAAGTAAGTTGTTTGCTGATTTCTGGACTAATTATGCAATTTCATTTTTTCCCTCAATTCAGCCAAATGTGTGTGTTCAGTCTGTGCTTTCTAAGTAGTCGGGTATCAAAAGTGATACAAAGAATGGCTAGACTCCTTTTCTTGACTCTTCCAGAGTTTGTGTGAGACTTTGCCTGATGAGTTCTTTCCCTTTGAAGTTAAAGCCGTCTTATAGGTTTTGTGGGATGTCATTTGATGAGTTGTTGGTTAAATTTCTGGAAGAGGTCTGAACTCTTCTCAGTAATAGTCTAAAGGAAAGCTTTAAACTTGACCAGGAGTTCTGAGAGGGCGAGTGCATTCAGGTCGAATGTGACTGGGGAGTCCTTGGGGTGTGAGCCTGATTTAAAATTCAGACATGTAACTCTCCACCACTAAGGTGGATATTTTTTAAGTGGGGACTAGAGTCTAAATTCCTGACTAGGCTCTAACGAGAAACTCCTCTTTCTCCAGGTTATGAAGACAGTATGGAGTTTCCAGACCACAGCAGACATTTGCTGCAGTGTCTGAGCGAGCAGAGGCACCAGGGCTTTCTTTGTGACTGCACTGTTCTGGTGGGAGATGCCCAGTTCCGGGCACACCGAGCTGTACTGGCTTCATGCAGCATGTATTTCCACCTCTTTTACAAGGACCAGCTGGACAAAAGAGACATTGTTCATCTGAACAGCGACATTGTGACAGCCCCCGCTTTCGCTCTCCTGCTTGAATTCATGTATGAAGGGAAACTCCAGTTCAAAGACTTGCCCATTGAGGACGTGCTAGCAGCTGCCAGTTATCTCCACATGTATGACATTGTCAAAGTCTGCAAAAAGAAGCTGAAAGAGAAAGCTACCACAGAGGCAGACAGCACCAAAAAAGAAGAAGATGCTTCAAGTTGTTCGGATAAAGTCGAGAGCCTCTCAGATGGCAGCAGCCACATGGCAGGTGACCTGCCCAGTGATGAAGATGAAGGCGAAGATGACAAATTGAACATTCTACCCAGCAAAAGGGACTTGGCAGCTGAGCCTGGGAACATGTGGATGCGATTGCCCTCAGACTCAGCAGGCATCCCCCAGGCTGGCGGAGAGGCCGAGCCACACGCCACAGCAGCTGGAAAAACAGTAGCCAGCCCCTGCAGCTCAACAGAGTCTTTGTCCCAGAGGTCTGTCACCTCCGTGAGGGATTCGGCAGATGTTGACTGTGTGCTGGACCTGTCTGTCAAGTCCAGCCTTTCAGGAGTTGAAAATCTGAACAGCTCTTATTTCTCTTCACAGGACGTGCTGAGAAGCAACCTGGTGCAGGTGAAGGTGGAGAAAGAGGCGTCCTGTGATGAGAGTGATGTTGGCACTAATGACTATGACATGGAACATAGCACTGTGAAAGAGAGTGTGAGCACTAACAACAGGGTACAGTATGAGCCGGCCCACCTGGCTCCTCTAAGGGAGGACTCGGTCTTAAGGGAGCTGGATCGGGAGGACAAAGCCAGCGATGATGAGATGATGACCCCAGAGAGCGAGCGGGTCCAGGTGGAAGGGGGCATGGAGAGCAGTCTGCTTCCCTATGTCTCCAACATCCTGAGCCCCGCGGGCCAGATCTTCATGTGCCCCCTGTGCAACAAAGTCTTCCCCAGCCCCCACATCTTGCAGATCCACCTGAGCACGCACTTCCGCGAGCAGGATGGCATCCGCAGCAAGCCTGCCGCTGATGTCAATGTGCCCACATGCTCCCTGTGTGGGAAGACTTTCTCCTGCATGTACACCCTCAAGCGCCATGAGAGGACTCACTCGGGGGAGAAGCCCTACACGTGCACCCAGTGCGGCAAGAGTTTCCAGTACTCGCACAACCTGAGCCGCCATGCAGTGGTGCACACCCGCGAGAAGCCCCATGCCTGCAAGTGGTGCGAGCGCAGGTTCACGCAGTCCGGAGACCTGTACAGACACATCCGCAAGTTCCACTGTGAGTTGGTGAACTCCTTGTCGGTCAAAAGTGAAGCACTGAGCTTGCCCACTGTCAGAGACTGGACCTTAGAAGATAGCTCTCAAGAACTTTGGAAATAATTTTATATATATGTATATATATATAAATTATATATATACATATATATATATATATATATACATAGATCTCTATATAGTTGTGGTACGGTCTAAAAGCAGTCTTGTTTCCTGGAACTGAAAAGTTGGAATCTTAACTTGTTTTTGCACTTTAGAATAATAGCATGAGAATCTCACTAATTTAGCATTCTGATAAAAGAAAGTAGAACAAGTCACAAGTAGAGAGTTGTCTTTCTTTTGAGGGTTAGGCCAAGTTAGCCAATAAAACCTTCTCAACAAATGGTTCTGTCACAAAACGCTTTCACATGGCTTACTTTTGTACACACTGCATTGTCTTGAGCGCTTTCCCTGTGCTCCACACTGTTCTGTTTTGTTTTGTTTCCAGAGTAGAAATCCCCCAGTTTATTAGCCTCTTTAAATGTCTCAAACTGCATGAATATTTTCTGGCTGTTGGAAACCTGAATGCTTTTAGACCCAAATGGAAAATTTCTGAAATGCTGGATTATCTATTTTTAAACAAGCAGTTGACTTAAAACTTTCTGTGGCAACTTCTGGTTTTCTGATGGTCCCCAGTGAGAGAAATCTGACAGTACACTGGGTCACTGGGACTGTCGCTGTGAAGGTTTGCTTGAGATGAAAAAGGATATTGCAGCTTCAGCAGTGTTGAACTGTGTGTTTAAAATGTGAATTACTGTTCTTGTATACTGTAATTGATTACACGGGCTGGGGGGGTGTCAAAGAACTTGACAGGTTGTGTTGATGCTCTTAGTTGAGTCTTGAAAAGTAAATATTAACGCTACAGAAATGCATGAGTTTCAATATATTTTTTGTCTTTGTTTGCATTGTATAACTTTAACGAGTGAGTTTAAAATTATTTAATTTCCTTAGAAAAATAGCACCATTTGGGAAAAAAACTGGTGTTACGAAGAACATAAATGCACTGTTTTTATTTTTATTTTTATTTTATATAATTTAAATTGACTTTTCCCATGTCTTTAAGTTTGAAACTGTTAAGCTGAATAAAAACTTAAGCTGCAAATTGATAACTTCGCTACATTACAAGGAACATATAAATGTTTACAAACGGCTTAAAGAATTGCATGTGCAGTGTGCATTCATACCACACTTGTAATTGCACAGAACCCATGCCAGCTCAGAGTTTAGGTGTACACATGTACCCAGCCGAGTGTTTTTAGAATAACTACTGCACAAATTGACAATAGGTCATAGGTCATTCTCTCTCTCCCTCCCTTTTGCTTCCCTTTTCTTTTTCTCCCCTATTTCCTTTCCTTACCCTACCCCCTAACCCATGAAAAGATTCTACAGACTGAAAAAGCCCCAGGCTGAAAGGACTGAACCGCCTTGATTGACATGGGGAAGGGGGTTAGTAGACTGTGTATCGGCAGCAGAGGCTGCAGCCCGACATGTGGCTCTGATGGCCAGCGTGCGGGGCAGAAGCGTTTTGCACACTGTTTGTTTTCCTGTCTTGCACTTACAAATAAGGTCTATGGGAGTAGCATGGAAAACGGTGGTTGTTTTTCCCTTTTTCTTTTTTAATTGCTTTTGTTTAAAATTTGATCGCCTTAACTACTGTAAACATAGCCTATTTTTGTGCTTAAGATACTGAATGGAAAACTCCATTGTGTGTTGCTGGACTGTTTTGGAAATATTTGGTCAAATGTATGTTAATCTGGCTGTAATGACATTTAAAGCAAACAAACAAACAAACAAACAAACAAACAAAAAAAGCTGTGAAATGGCCTTGGAGCATTATCTTTAGTTACTTGAAGAGTTTATAGTTTTTTTTAATACAGTTTATGTTAAAATAATCTTTATTAATTTAGAGAAGACAATCAATGTCTGTGAAAGAACGGACTTTTTTGAATTTTTTTTTGTGGTCATTGTGAGTGATTGTTTTTTCTTTTTCTTAGTTTCACATTCTTCCTTTGTTCTAAATCTTAGACTGACATCTAGCTTTGACAATCATAGTATGTTTTATTTCCTGAGGGGGAATAACTTATAATGCTGTTTAGTTTTGTACTATTGGTGTGTTGGTGAATTTTTAAACTGTGTGCTAACTGCAATAAATTATATGAACTGAGAATTCCTGTGTGCTTTTTGTATTACAGTCGCACAACGGATTCTGAAGTTAGTACAGTGTATGGCATCTTCATTTTAATCCCAGGTTTCATTCAGTTTGTGAGCTGTTAGGCTGTTTTAGGGTTACCCAAATGAAAAGGTGCACATTTCACCATTTAAGAAGACACTAAATGCACATTGAAAAATACGACCTATCTCTCCAGTATAGATCAAGACTGTTGAGGTAATTCCTGAGAAATTGTGAATGCAAAGGACTTGAGGTGGTAAAGGTAGATTTTCATAATAAGATAACACAACTACTAACACATACACAATGTAAGTCACTTTCCATACATGATTTTATCCTAAGTTGATTGGTCAAATCCGTTCTCCCATGTTCTGGCTTTAAGTGGAAAATTGAAGGAGACCGGATGTCTTAATTTGGAAAGACTGCTTGCCTAATGAGTGGAAGTCTAGGCAATTGAATTAGCAGGCATTCAGTTCAAGATGAGCTGTGTCTGTCCGTTTTTCTTACCAGCACTCAAAAGATCTTAGTGTTTGAGTTCTAATTTTAAAACGTATTTAAGTAACGCACCATTAGAACTATCCCTTCCCTTTGTCATTGCCCCTGCCTCAATTTCTTGCCTGTCTTGTTGGGTTTGTGTCTGGTAAGGGCTGTCTGATTCTTGGAATTGACAGAACACATGTATATAAAAGAAATCTGGGGGAATGGTCACACTGGTCCTAGATTGCAGTGGGCCCAGATCCTGAGGTTGTATAAATACTAAAATCTTAAACTATCCATAACTCCTAATACTAAAGACAAATATGGAAATAATTTTCCATTACTACTGTCAAAGAAAATTACACCAAAAAGCCCACAGTAAGGTTAACTTTTTTGTGAGGGAATCCAAAGTATGGAACACAACATTTAGAAGGTCTTTGATGGCTCTGGCTAGAAACCCACAAAGAATTTTTATCATAAAGTACAATAAAAATTTCCAGTTTGGGAGTGATACATTCAGTTTTTAATGGAGGAAATAATACAACTAACACACCTCAAAATTGGCTTTAAGCATCTGACCGTTTCCCATGAAGGGGCGATTTTCATTTGGTTTCTACACAGCTGATCCCGAGCAGCTAGCTCGTGAGAGACTCTTCCCATTTTCCTGAGTGAAAGCTTCCTAAAGAGGCTGAGGGCTTATGTGTCTCATGCAGTCCCACGGCTATCTTCATTTTAAGTGAGCACTACCTTAGCAGGCTTCACAAGATAGACTCATCAGCATTCTGACTGTGGTTTAGAAATAACTTCTTACAATACTGTACACCAGGCATAGAATGTTATTACACAAAGGGTCACATTTGGCATGTGATGTGCAAGAATCCATTGTTCCTCCACTGCACTGAAGAAAGAAAGTTGTCATGCAATCCAGTTGGAAACCTGTAAAATCAGGCCCTCCTTTGACATCTGGCTGATTCCTAAATACATGCTAAAAATATGGTTTCACTTACTTTTGAAAACATCTGTTTCTTTCAGATAATCAATTAGGCCCTGGATTGCTGTGGGCCCAGCATTGTGTGCTAGGTGTACCCTGGGGAACGGCCGAGGAGTAGAAGACAGTAAGGATGCCAGTTGGGGATTTCCTTCCTAGTTAATTATGCTATCAGATTAATAGGTGAACCAAGTAGAGTTTGCCCTTAGCGGACTTCACATGGGCCTCTAAAAACAGGTTTTTGGAAGGTTAGAAAAAGGTGAACAGTATTTAGAATTATATATTTACTCACATTAAGTATTTAAAAATAATGCTTGTTTCCCCAAGTAAATTTTAAACTACTATAAAAGCTGTATTTTCTTTAACCTTGGATTTCCTAGTTTTACAGATCAAATACACTTAAAATGCATTAAAAAAAAAAACTTGAGAAACCCCATTTTTAAAAATCAGATGCATTTTTTTTTAATCTTTTAAGACCTCAAAATTTCCTGCACTGTTAGCCTGTATGTTTTCATTCTCATAACGTTAAAATCTTTGCGTTAAAGCCTAACAAAATCTCACATACCTCTGGGTAGAAAAATTTTAGTTGTAGATACTGACCTAAATTTTGATTATATTTATTTATTGCAATGTTTGAAACTGTTGATAAAGTATAGTGGATGAGGTACGTGTGAATTTTGAAGTTCAGGACAGAAAAGCTGTGTCACTTTGATAAAAGTCCCCTGCCGTTAAAATCCTGGAGATAATGTCATCTTAAAAATAAAGCAATGGCTTTATTTTTAAAAGCAAATAAATGGCTTTTAGGAATTTAATTTTGGCCAGAGTCCAACTTTATTACACGGGCAGGATTTTGTCCTGTATGGTAGAATATTTCAATTTATTTATTTATTTTTACCTTTTGCCTCCGGAATTCTGGCAGAGTGTCCGTGATTCCTTGCTCTAGAAGTGCAGTCACTTGTCGGACTTGAAGTCAGCTTGGCTCCAGCAGACCGCTTCCAGCCCTCCCTGAGATGCTCAGCCTCACTCCTGTCCTAGAGAATAACAGCAGAGAGGCAGCTACGCCTTAGGGTGCCAGTGAGAGCTTTCGGAAATTCATTTTGGTAGATCATTCAGAAATGAAGCTTCTAGTATTTTTGCAAACCAATACATTTAACAATCCTCACCTATTTTCGTGATTTCTTATGGAAGAAACTGAACTCCAAATGTGAAATGCTATGAAGAGACGGGCTGGCTGTGTAGAAATGGACCAGCAAGCACCAATAGTTTGAACAGTCTTTTTTTCTTTTTTTCTTGAAAAATCTAAATACCTTATCATGCCTCTGCTTATGCTAAATACATTGCAATTAATTCTCCCATTTAGACAGTAGAATGGTGGTCCTTCCCTTTAGTGTATTCAAGCCCTTGAAAGAGAAACCAGCCTTTTCTCCCCAGTTACCTTTTCTAATTCTATTCTGATATTTACTAATTGCATCAATCTCAAGCTTTATGTGGGATGATGCTTTTCTTTAGTTGAAAGGGTAGCTTTAACAATATCCTTTAAAACCAAAGGCAGTCTTGAATCTGTGGTCACTTATGCCCTTCTTCTAAGCTTTGGGAATGGATTTGCCATTAAGCTGTGGAAGCTCCATCTCTTTGGGGAAATGAGAGGAAAAACAAAACAAAAACCCATTTGGGCTTAAAATGTAGCGCACTTAGGAACAGTTTGACTGAGTGTGTGCAGCGCAGCTTTCGGAGCTCCCGTGACACAGACTCCGTTCATTGAGACTACTGGCATACAGCCTCGTATGGTCTTTGCGGTTAATCATTACATCAGGTGGCTTTTGTTACATGTCAATGTGCATGCTTGATGTGACTCTATAGGAATTTTTCAAAGTTGTCCCAAATATTCAAGTTTGTGAAAGGTGTACTTGTAGTTCATGTGAACTGGAGCATGAACGTATGTGTTAATACTGATAAGAATGTGCAAATAGATTATATCTGTTCTAATATAGAAAATGTGTAGATGTCACTGAACCCGAAAGACTAGCATGACTTTACTCATGTGACATACCCAACCAGAGCTAACTTTTGGTATGTTACAATTTAGAAGAAATGTATTAATCATGTATGAATATATTTACTCAAACCTACAAAAAGAATGTGTACATTTCATTGAAAAAAACCCATATGTAATGCAGGTCACCATACCTCCGAGAGGTTTCTTAATGACTCTTAACATTTTGTGTATCTTATTATCTGAGATGAACTTTGATCAAACTAAAAGTATTTAAAATTTTCTCTCAAATCTCTTAAAGAATTTTTAGGAGATTGAAAATATACATGTACCTTTTCTTTGAAGCTCTAGCCCCGGCTTGGTAACCCTGAAACATCCTTTGCATGCATACTAGACAGCAATGCCTCCTAAGCAGGTTGCTGTGGACAATTTTGCACAGTAGTACAATAATTAAAGTACTGAAGAGAAATATCTATGTTCAGTGGGCTGGAATGACTATAGAAGGTAGTGACATCGATATGTATTTAGTAGGGAAAAAAAATCCCATTTTCTAACTTACAACAGTACTCCATCACTTAAAATCGTTCTCAGATTTGTAAAGTTATTTTTGTAGCTACCTGGCTATGAAAAAGAAGGTGGCCCAGTATGTGGCAGGAGGGGAAATGACACAGGTTTACAACCTGCACACTGTCACAGGATAGGCATCTCTTATGTAAAATATAAAATCGCTACCAAATCCTCCAGATCTTGCAAGGGAATGATCTAAAAGAAACCGATGTCTGCTGGGTGTTTCCTTGGGTCTGATCATTGCTGCTGAGCCACACACTGAAATTCTCAACTCATGCTCTGTGTTCGAGCTTTCTCCATGGGGTTTATTTACCCCAAGAGGGTAAAGGTTGTATATTGAGTGATTTTGACACCATGACACAACTGAGTTTTCTAGCCAAGTTGTCTCCATGTTTTTCTACCATTTTGGGGTGGCGGGGGTGGGGGTGGGGGGATAAATTAGAAATGAAAACTCCAATTTAGATTGGCCCATTTACTCTCTGAGTACCAGCTATCTATGTGTTAATATACCCAGGCCGAGAGGGAAGGCTGAGCCTGTAAATAAAGGAACTGAGACGTTTCTGGGACTCCTTACAATAAATGACATCAAAGTGGATGAAAACCTCCAGTGAAAGGCAAAGAAATTAGAGGATATGTTGGGGCACAAAGAACTTTTGCTTTTCATAGTAAGTGTGAAGTCTAGAAAAATGTGGTGGTTTCTCACGTTCTATTTATATGTTATTTTACTTGAGGGACGCCTCAAAGCTATGCTAGAACCATTTCTGTGCAAAGGGGGAGGGAGGGGAAGCTTCTCATCATTTGTTCAGTTTGCTATGTAAAGGTGCTTATCTTGCAGTAAAAATAAGACTTTATGAGAATATGACAGGCGTTCTGTAGGCTTGACTGGTATGGAAGGACTTTAAATGATTGATATCTTGTTGTTTAAAAGTCAGTCAAATAACACCCTCGAAGGATGAGGCTTTCAGTCTTCAT